CAGCGCGCCCGCCTCCACGATGAGCGTGCGGGTGGGCACGTCGTTGGCAAGCTCTGCAATCGCACCCGCTGCAATTGCCTTGCCCTGCTCGGTGCCAGTGCGCAGCAGTGCCACGAGCAGCGGCAGCGCACCCTCGCCCAGAATGAGCGCGCGGGTGGGCGGGTCGTAGGCGAGCTCTGCGATCGCACCCGCTGCAATTGCCTTGCTCTGCTCGGTGCCAGCGCGCAGCAACGCCACGAGCAGCGGCAGCGCGCCCGCCTGCACGATGAGCGCGCGGTCATGCTCTCCGTGGGCGAGCTCTGCAATCGCGTTCGCGGCGCTCGCCTGGTCAGCGCCCCCTGGTCCCTGCAAGCGTGCGACCAGCGCCTGGATGTTGGCCGCCATGCGCGAGGTCTCACGATGCGGGCGGGCGAGGCGCGCGCGGCCGAGAGCGATCGAGAGCGGAGGGCGGTTGACGGCGATGAATGCTGTAACTCGGACTAATCCGATAAAATCCGATATAGTATAATGTCGGGCGGCCCCGCGTTGCGGAGCGACTCCAGCGCTTTGTTTTCGGCATCCTCATCATCCACCACTTCTACCAGCTCCCCACGTCGGCGTAGCGCGTAGGAGCCTGCGTCTGAGTGCTAAGATCAGCCTGACTCGAACTTGAAACGTACCGCCAGCCCGAACCCCCCTACATTAAATTATATAGCGGCTCAGCATGGTTCAACATGTGTTGTATATATATATATATATAGCGGCTCAGCATGGTTCAACAGGTGTTGTTCACTCACTGACTTGGTTGTCGTCAGACGTTAGTCCTGGCAGCAGGGATGGTGGTGGTAGAGGTGAGGTTGGTGTGTTGTTCACTCACTGACTTGGTCGACGTCTATAGTACGATTCGATTTGATTTGATTTGATGTCCTCTCATACACACTCCAGCGCCATGTTGATGTCCTCTCATACACACTCCAGCGCCATGTGAATCCTTTGTTATTAGCGGCTCAGCATGGTTCAAAAGGTGGTTTTCACTCATTGACTTGGTCGACGTCAGGCAGTAGTCCTAGCAGCAGCAGGGGTGGTAGAGACTACATAGTTTAAGTCAATATCCGGCGCTATAACGACGAGTTCACCCTTGGACCTTGACTAGTTTGCCAACAAAAAATGAACTCTATTACTAGTTATGACTAGAAGCTCTGCGCAAGGTGACGCTAAAGCTCAACAGAGTGACGCACAGACGCTGACGCCTGACACCGGGGGCCTCCGGCACAGAGACTGCGGGGTAGAACGGGGGCAACATAACATAACATAACAACTAAGTACAATATTAGAAATCACGGCGGGCGGGCCGCGACGTGTCAGATCGCACTAGGAGCTTTTGAGTTAGTTAACAACAATCAACACAATTTTTGGTTGGCCAAACAAGATAACTCGTCCAGCCGCCACTCGAAGCCACTGAGCAAGCAATTTTTTGGGGCGTTAAGTGTCTAAATAGAGCGCAGGGCGCACGTACGAGGGCGCGCCTCAGTGCTGCGCCAAAAGGGGGGAGAAAGAGCGCGCGGGGCAAAAGGGTGACCCGTGCATGGATCGAACACGCGACCTGCCGATCTGGAGTCGGCTGCTCTACCACTGAGCTAACGAGTCGGTA